TATCCATTTTGAAGGAAATCAACTCTGAGTGCTCACTGGAAGGACAGGTCCTGAAGCTGAGGCTCCAATACTTTGGCCATCTCATGAGAAGAGAACACTCCCTGGAAAAGACCCGGATGTTAGGAAAGTGTGAAGGCAAGAGGAGAAGGGGACAACAGAGGACGAGATGGCTCGACAGTGTCATCGAAGCTACCAAAATGAATTTGACCCAACTCCTGGATGCAGTGGAAGACGGTGTGCTCTGGTCCATAGGATCATGGAAGACACGAAACCAGGCCTTCTTGGCTGTGGCTCCTCGCCTTTGGAACAATCTCCCTCCCGAGATTCGCGTGGCCATTTAAAACATTTAAACATTTAAAACTCAACTAAAAACTTGGCTTTACATCCAGGCCTTCCCTCCTGCCAGCATTTAATCTAATTTAATTTATTTTCCTCTTTCTTATCTAGTCTATCATTTATGATTTTTGGTATGTTTTGTTTAATAATCGATGCTTATGGATTTACATTACCACAATTGTATATATGTTGTTGTTAGCCGCTCAGAGTGGTATAAATATACCAGATGGGCGGGATATAAATCAAATAAATAAATAAATAAATAAACACATTGAAGGAAAATAGATAGTGTTCACTCTTGCAATTGTATCAATCTTTGAGAAATATATGAAGAATTTACATAGCCATTTGATTAACAGGGAATGTTAATACATTCTTAGCTTGGATGTTGTTTTTGTGGACCACAATATATATGGTCAGCATACTCTGAAGACTCAATGCCACGTAGTCCATGGAGAACCCCACTTGGTCCTCAATGAAAGACTAGTTGCCAAATTTCCTTGCATTCTGGGCTGCAAAATTGTTGCAGCTCAAGACCTTTGTACTCCCTTTTTTCCACACTCAAATGTTAATGTTGAAATGACTCTTTCATCATAAAATCTGTATAAACATTTAAGCTGTGTGTGCCTACATATATAAATATGCGAGGAAGGCATAAAAACACGTACTGCGCCTACCAGCAGAATCCAAGCCAAGCCTACAGCCTGGGTAATTGCTTTCCCCTTGGACAAACCCCATTGATCATGAAGGCCCTTGGAGGTTTCCTGCTCCTCACTCTGATGATGTTCTTCCTCTACTCAGGTGAGCTGAATTTCCCATGGCCAGGGTTCCCCTTTTTGTACAGACTTGCCTTTTACAACTCGATTCCCATTATACATTTAATCCCAGAAAGGAATGACAATAATCTCTAGACATTCTCAAGGCCTTTTCTATATGAAACGTTTCAAAGGTTTCCATACAGATACAGTATCTGAATTAATTACTGGAAGGCAATTGTCCTGATGGGTTGCCTCTATCACATGGAGATACTTTGTATCTGTGCAGTCCATTCTTCAGAGTGTTCTTGCCACTCTCTACGCTGGGAGCACAATCCTCTTAAAGCCTTTCTTGATAACCTCCACATGGGACCGAATGGAATTTGAAGCACAGATTGTACGGCCACAAGTTCCACTGAGCAATGGAATTGGCTTCTAAGTAGATTGCTTTTCAATCAGTCTTATGCAAACAAGCAGCAGCATATTTACACTTATTGCTGAAAGAATCACTCACAGATTTCATTGTCTTCCTGTTACCTGGTCAGTCACTAAGGGTAAACAGGCATTACAGCCCAAAAGAGGCAAAGTGGGCTGAAGGAATGATAGAGTTCCCATGATCTGCTGGGCAGATTTTCATTCCTTTTCCATTTTTAGCCT